TATATATATATATATATATACACCTTGCTACGTGTACTGCATTAGGCTAACCGAGACTTGTCATTTGCACTTATATATTGTTGCTCTTTTGTTAGTTTTGACTGCTTTTATTGTCCTCATTTGTAAGTCGCTTTGGATAAAAGCGTCTGCTAAATGACTAAATAAATCAATAAATAAATAAATATTTATACAGGTCCTACTTCTTGCCTTAAGCCTTCTTTTGTTCCGCAGACGTTTTCCTCTTTTGTTTTTTATCCGCCATCTCTATCTTTCTGTCGGTCGGCTCGCTAATGTCTGTCTTGTGCACTCTCCTCCACATCATGAGTAGACACGCCCCTTACTGCTGATTGGCTACAAGTTTGTTTTGCTATTCGGCCCGAATCAGTTTTCTAAAGCGTTTTTGAACGCTTACCCCACCTTTAAGGCTCATTAGCATTCGGCCTGCTTTAAATCAGACACAGAGATGCAGTGCGGTAAGATCGCATTTATTTGAATTAATTAATTATATAATTTATTTTAATTAGCGCGAGAGCGAGAGCGAGAGCGAGAGAGAGAGAGAGAGAGAGAGAGAGAGAGAGAGAGGGCTGAAAGTTGCGTGTGTGAAGTTGCGTCTGCGCGTCTCTCTCTTCAAGCAACGAGGCTTAGTTACTTCAAAAACAGTGATTTTACCCCCTTATTGAAGATAAATATAATGTTGTGTGTCAGTAGCCTGTCGAATCTATTTTACTAATAAAAGTTTCCGTGCTGTGTTGTCGTGTGCAATAATGTGTGTGCGTGCGTCTATGAAAGCAGCGTAGCCTTCTGCATATAGTTTTAGTTTAGCTATAAACGCGAGCCCGAACCCGAAGCTATTCATTAAACATTAACCCAAACCCAACCCCGGAAGTATTTCGGGACCCGTCGGGCTCGGGTCGGGTAGCAGACCTCTAGTGTGTGTGTGTTTCTCAGAACAGATTTGGAGAAATCTCATCAATGAATCCTCTGCAGTGAATGGGTGCCGCCAGAATGAGAGACCGAGCAGCTGATAAAAGCAGCACAATAATCTACATGACTCCATCAATTAACGTCTTGTTAAGTGGAAAGCTGCATGTTTGTAATAAACAAATTCATCAAGATTTTATTAACTTCAAACTGTTGCTTCTGGCAAAATTATGAGTACTCTATCAATGATACTGCATTCTCCAGTGAAATAAGTAATCTTGTCTGAATCAGGAGAGAAGTATGCACAAATCAAGAAACATTTACAAGCGAAAACAGTCTAAAACAGTTCTAAACAAATATGTTGGTGGATTTTGATGTGAGAGGACAACAAGTGATGTACTTTTTCACTGGAGGAAGTGTTATTATGGATTATGGACTGGTATTATGACCAGAAGCGATGGTTTAATAAAACACCTGAATGCTGCTGGATTTGTTTCTTACAAACATGTAGCTTTTCAGTTCATAGAGTCATGTGGATTACTTGAGGATTATTGTGATGCTTTTATCAGCTGGTTGGTCTCTCATTCTGACAGCATTCATTCACTGCAGAGGATCCACTGGTGAGCAAGTGATGCAATGCTAAATTTCTCCAAATCTGTTCTGATGAAGAAACAAACTCATCTACATATTGGATTGCCTGAACAGGTACATTTTCAGCAAATTTTCATTTTTGGGTGGACTACTCCTTTAAATTGACTGTCACGTCTGAAACCTACCTCCCACAGTGCACCACTACAGCCACCAGGTCGTACAATCGATCGGGGTTGGTAGCATCGCCAGAGGTGTTAAAGAGCCTCAGCTCCAGAGGGAAGACTACACGATAAGAGAGCTTGGTGTAGCGATGAAGCTGGTCCATATACTTAAAGCGCTTTAGGTGCAGGGCCAGGATCATGGGTAATTTCTTCACCCGCATCCTGTAAGGAAGAGAGACAGGATCAATTCCTATTCTCAGACTGCACTTTATTGGCCAACTTCCTGAGCAACTGTAATTGTTAAATGCTCCATGATTAAAATCTCTCTCTCGCAAAGAACCAACACACTAATGCATTGAGTACAACACCAAGATGCATTCAGGAAGGAAGGAAATACTACATAGACAGGGGCGGTGCATATGCAGCAGCCTTACATTAGTTGAAGTGAATATCACAGCAAATGAGCCACTGGAACAAGAGTAATTTCAGCCATGCCAGTCTGTTGGAACTACATACCTTTTCTGAGCCTCCTGTTTACTTCTGCATTGCTCACAGTAGTACTTGCATTCACTACATAAGGTCTCTGTGTTGCTGAATCCCCTGTCAGTGCAGTGACAACACGTTATCTTTCCACATTAATAAACATTAAACAAAGAATTTGCACCAATGGGACATTTTTTGCAGTTATGTTTGTGGCTTTACCTAAGACAGCGTGTGATGGAGGTATTCTGCTCCACGTCCACTGAAAGGTCTAGGAAGTCTTCATCTTTACTGCTCACCTGGGACGAAAGAGGACATGATTACCCGTCATACATTCTAAGACTACAAATTATGCAAGACTATATATTATCAAAATCAGCTAGCTGGTGGCTTGTCTGAACGACTGGTCGGCTGTAAGGAATCCCTGGATAAATATGCTGATGTGTTTCATAATACATAGTGTTTCCAAAAACAGTCAGACCCTGTCCCAAATGCAACCGTAAGCCCTTGTTGTCCTCCTCTGTTTCTACTCTACTCTTCAATGATGTAATATTACATAGACTGTAGAGTAGCAGCATGCAGTGGAAAATGCATCAACTCAGCAAATCAGTATATCAAGGGTGTGTGATGGCAGGAAAAAGGGCACCAATGAGCACCCTTCAGAATCATCAAATGAAAAACATGGACATTTCCATTTCTGAGTTTGGGTTGCTTATAACATGCATTTGGAAACACAACATGTGCCAACCTCAAACTTGCTATGTGAAGCACTTATAAACCAGCTGTTGTCAACACAAGAGACGCTTGAAGGGCTCTCTACGGTTATCCACCAAATAAAAGCTTGATGGTTTAACGTTTAAAAAAGGAGAAATGAACACGGCCATAAATATTAGTATTGTATTTTTACAGTTATTATAGATATCTATATTATTATATAACAATATTATATAACAATATAAATCAATTATTACATTATATTATTTTTTATAAATACTTTCTTTAAAAGTTGTCAAATATTACAATACTAATATTTCATTCTTTAATATTGTATTTAGAAGTAGTAGTAATAATAATAATCATCATCATCATTTTAGTTTATATATAATAATTTTATAGTCATATTAATATATAGATCACAAAATGTTGGGCCTAATTGTGCAGCCCTACTAACAATCGCAGCAAACCTGAAGATTTGTATTAAAATTACTATTAAACACACACATACATCTCGGTTCAGCTAGGAGAGTTATCATCATATTCCACAATCCAAACATTTAACAGAGTTCTTTGTACTGTGGCACACTGTTGTAAACTATCACATCCATACAATCCCCCAGATGCCAATTAGTCAAAAGTAAAGTGACGAAAACATGGTCACAACTACTCATCCCATATCTCAATAATGAAAGCCAGAGCCCTTTTGGGTACATATGACTCACTCTACCTCCTCTGACTCACCGCTTCACAGTTCAGGCACCGTGTCTCATTGGTCAGTGTGCCTTGGAAGATCTCGTGCACCCAGGTCTGCTGGGTCTTTTCCTCCGTTTCACCCTCTCCTGTGCTGCTACCGCTTCCACCTCCTCCTCCGCTTCCACCATTCTGTACTACCTTTCCATTCTGCTGTCTCTCCTGGCTCTTTTCCTCCTGTAGCAGGTCTGCAATGGTGTTGAGCAAGTAGTTGAGGAATTCGTGTGCGTCTTGCTGCATGTAGTTGTCAAACAGCTCTGTAGGTAAAATAAAAGGAAGCGTTGATAGCATTAGGTAGCTGCAAGTCTAATATATAAATAGTAGAAATGAACAGTGTAAAAATGATTTAATAATTTAATAGCTGTGCATTTCATACAGTGTACAGTGTTAACTGCATAGCTATTCAGCAGTGCAGCTGAATCTACTGCACCATGGTAAAATGAATTTGCAGTCAAAGCAAAATTATACAACAATAAATTGTGTTGTCTTTGCTGGCTGCATGAACAGTGTATTGCGGTTCATGATAAATGACTCTTATGAGCTGCTCTGTTATTGTTTTAATCATCCTAACAACTGTAATAACTGAATCCATTAGATCAGTTACTATATTACGATTAAACTCACTTTTTGACTAGCAAAACATAACTTCACATCTTGACTCGAAACGGACTACCTGTTCAAGCAGCTACACATTCATCTCATACAGATCTAATAAACGGTATTTAAAACAGAATATTGTGAAATATTATTACAATTTCAAAACTGTTTTCTATTTGAATATTATTCATGTGATGACAAAGCTGAATTTTCAGCAGCCATTACTCCAGTCTTCAGTGTCACATGATCCTTCAGAAATCATTCTCATATGCTGATTTGGAAACATTTCTTATTATTACCAAAGTTGAAAACTGTTGTGCTGCTTAATATTTTTTTAAGAATAGAAAGTTCAAAAGAACATTAGAAATCTTTTGTAACATTAGAAATGTCTTTACTGTCACTTTTGATCAAATTTAAGGCATCTTTGCTAAATAAAAGTATTAATAAAAAACAAATACTGATACCAAACTTTTGGTAGTTTATCTAGACAATCAATATACAATAGCATATCCATGTTTACATTCAGAATGTTTACAAATATATCAGAACAGCATATTACCTGCATAGCAACATCTTCACATATCATTTTACAGATCTCCGGGCACCTGCATAATATTCCCACTAACCCACATCAACTGACATCTTGTCAGTCAGTCAGTCAAATCCTATACTGTAGGACCCGGGATCTTTTCTCACCATTTTCCTTCCTCAGCCTGGAGATGAACTTCTTTGGTGGAATGACTCCCACTTTCTTCTTCTGAGTTGCAATGCTGTTGAACAGGTCAGCCAAGCAGGTGAGCAGGCTCTCTTTACGTCGTGGCTGGATCTTATAGTCCAGGACTTTCTCCCGGAAGGGCCGGCAAAAGTACAGTGCCTGCAGCACTGAGTTACAGTAGCAGGTGTTGCCAAACTGAGTGACCAGATTGTGATTGAACAAAGAACAGATTAAAGATTGATGAAGGACATGTGATGACATACATGTGCATATAATATGTGTCATATCTGCAATTAATGTCTCTGTGAAGGAAAGCAAACCATTGTTGGATATATGGAGCGTATTTATTATTATACTTTGTTGCCTTTTATACATGCTTGCCAAATCTGCTATTAAGTGATGGCACAAGCACATTACATAAAAACAGGTGCTTTAAAATGTAAAAGTAATATGGCAAAGTAATCTTCTATTTATAGAACATTCACTGACAAAAACAATAAATGTAAACTTACATTGACCAGCCCAAAGTAGTGTTCATTAACAGGGAACTGTTCCGGTCCAATCTCCTTTTCCAAAGCAGAGGCATTGGCGCCCTATAGGGAACAGCCACAATGGTTATCTTTGCTCATGGGGTCTCAAAAAAATACAAGTGAACACCCTGGACCTATTGGAGACTAACAGGAACATCCTGTTTGTGAAGAATGATGCCAGGCTTGGCATTAACAGGATGCAGTTGCTGGGCAATTGAACCCACTTTGTTTCACCAGGGAAGAACATCAAGGCACAGCTGTAAGTGGTATCAGTATCTGAAGTATAATGCATGAGTTCTCAGAAGTTAAAAGGCCTAAGTCTGTGGTTGTCAAGCTTTTGGATCCAAAAGATACCTCCACTGTCTAACTCCTTATTCAAAGACCCCTTCCCCAAATATAGGATGAGTTATTTCTGGCATTTCTACTGTGTTTATGATAAAGCTACTTATTTTAATAACAGAAACTGGGAGTATAAACATTTTAAATTAATGAACCATGATTAAGAAATTTCAAAAACTGTGTGATCATCAATAGGAACAACACTTATTGAGAGGGGAAAAGATATATGATTGCAGTTTACATCTTGATTTTATGTGTGTGTTTTCTTTTAGCATTTTAATTTAGTTTAGAGTGGTCATTTTAAATATTCTGTTTCTGGAAGGATGAATCACCAAAGGGAACTGATTCATCATGACTAAGGTAATCTGTGGGAAAATGTAACTAAATATACAAATTCACATATAATGTCAACCCAATACTTGATGAACCTTGATCCCATTCCACAATGTACCAATAACTTTTACTCAATTTATGAAAAGTAATTTTGATATAACTCTTTTACACAGTACATACTGGCACCCTGAGGTGACTAAGCTAAATCAACAAGATAACCTTAACTCTATAACAGCTTATCAGTGACTGCTGGTAAATAAAGAAATTGGCACATAAATATCTTGCTATTGAAAGGATTTACGGATTGATATGAGCTAAATCTCAAACTCAAACTAGAAATCGTTCAATAACAGAACTCCCAGTAGTTACCCATATAACTAAACTTTTAATTTCTAATAATATTATGTACACAGCAAATACTCAATTTTATGTTCGTTGTAAGTCTGATCTACAGTGAATGTTCTCGTGTAAACCCTTTTAGCACTACAAAGACACCGAGCTCATTAAATCAGTTTTTAGTTGTGTCCTTCAAATAATGTTAAAACAACAGCAGCAGCAGCAGGAACTGTAGTCTCGTGCATGACCTCGCCTGTTACCCCGGCCATCCTTCCTCTTTACAAAACACTGGTAAACATATCGAAAAGTATCCCCGTGCCAGATATCATCTGACGGTAAATAAAGCTGAGCCGTCCGGCTAATCAAACATGGGCATTATGCGTGTCGATCGCTAATACGCTAGGCTATACATTTTACCCTTGAGCAGAATATCAAATTATCTGACAAAAAATGCTTTTAAGTCCGTTTAACCACATCTCCAAACTTCTACTGCGTCTATAAACACAGACAGTGAGGTGTGCAAACTTTTTGTGGCTGTGCTGCCATGTCATGACGCGGTTGTTTATCTGGTAGCTGTTGAGCTAGCACTGTTAGCAGGCTAATCCAAACACAGGTTAGACGCAGTGGACGGGGCAACTCTCACTTATGCGAGGAAAAACTCACCATCGTACAAATCGAGGCGATCTTTCGGACTGTCATCAGTATTTCCATCCGTCTGCCGCCATATTGGACCGAACCCCTATTTAAAACTGTGACAGCCGCACGGGCTGAAGTTCCGGTGAATCCTTCAGTCGGTCCAGCTCGCAGCGGAATGAGGGAGTGTCGCCTAGCAGCTGCGCAGTACATAACATTACGAAACCCAATATGGCCAAGACTTCTTCTTCTTCTTCTTCTTCTGATGTTTATTGGCGGTTTTGGCAAACCAACTTAAAGGTGCATTACCGCCACCTACTGATCTGGAGTGTGGAGTGAACAGATTTGGTAGAGAGAAGGATATATATTATATTAAAAAAAAAATATATATATATATTTTATATATATATATATATACCACAATTAAAATTTATATTCTTTCCATATTTCCTGTCTTTTTTAGATAATTGAACACTTCTTCTTTAATTCTTGATTGCATTTGGCTATTCCCTAGTAATATCTTGAGTGATACTTTATCATGTCCCATCAAACCTAATTTATGATTAAGTTGATTTCTTTCTCTTTCATACGCATCACATTCTAGAAGAATGTGCTTTACTGTTTCTGGATTCCCACAATCTAAGCAATTCGGAAAAAGAGGCAGCTTTTCTGCATTGTGTGTTTTTTTTTTACTCTTTGTACAGCAGTTATTGTTCATTCTAAATGTATTTTAATGTAGAATATGTGTTACATAAATAATATCTCATCCTCAACTGTAACCTACGGAGTTCTAGGGGCATTTCTCCCATCTCTACCTGTAAAGCATTCACTGGAGATGTTCTAAAAGCTCCACTACATATACGTAGAGCCTGTGACTGTACTACTTCAACTTTTTGAGCAGAGTTTTGTTCGCCGAACAGTATACTATACTACCATAATCTATACTAGATCTTATTACTGCACTATATATTCTTTTTAATGATTGAGAACTTGCTCTCCAATCAGCACCTGATAAAACACCTTAATACATTAATTCCTCTTTTACATTTTTCAGTTAATTTCTGTATATGTATTCCAAAATTTAACTTTGAATCCATCCACATACCCAGGAATCTGATGACCTTCACTTGCTCCAACTGATGACCATACATCTTAATGTTTAATTTCGGATTATTTTTCTTATTCGAAAAACAAATTACTTGAGTTTTCGCCACAGAAAAACGAAATCCCCATATCTTAGCCCATCTCTCTACCTCATTCACCGCATTTTGCATTTTGCTTTCCACAAATGAAATATTCCGTCCCCTTTTCCATAGTGCTCCGTCGTCTGCATATAGTGATCTACCTTCTCCTCTCTCTATACTGTAAAAAATATCATTTATCATCAAGTTAAACAGAATAGGGCTACTTACACTTCCTTGCGGAGTTCCATTCTCTATCGAAGCCAAGACTTCTGTTCACATGAACTTTTTTTAAACATGGTTCACAAATACTGGGGAATTTAGCATAGAATTTACAAAGCACAGAATAGAATAGAAAAGAAAGGATATGCAAATGTCACTGTAAGCGTCAATTAGGTAAATATTTTAAGGGACAATTTTAAATTTTTTCTTTCACATATTTTGTTTACATTTTTTAAACATATTTTGTTACAGCATATTTTGTAATAATTTATATTGTCTATATTATGTTTCGTATCAGTGCAATGTCTATGGTATTAGAACTGCGAGTCTTACAACTGGTATATTTGCATTTGTAAATACTGAAAAAATGACATTCACTACATTTAAAAACATTCAACACTATTTATCCTTTATATGATTTCCTACAATTACATGTCTTGTAAATGTAACATCCCCTAAACAATAAATAGCCTAAAATGATATCGAATTAGTGCGAATAATCGTGAGAAAATAATATCTGAAGGAACCTGATAAAGATCTATTTTTACTTGTTTTGAAAACAAATACGTTTTGCGTCAGTATCTATGATAATTCCGATGTATGATATTAAATAAAAAAAAGTGGTATTTTAAATAAGAATATAATTTAATTATTTTATTTCACCTCAGAAAAGCATAGTGAACCAATTAGATATAAAGGCAGACAACGGTGAATTATGGATACTATTTGTAAAAAAACATACACGCCCTATAGTAATAGCCCCGCCTTACATTCTTTTGATGTTTTCATATTTCATGGCGAAGGCTTACCCTATGAATGTTAATTAGGTAATACTGACGTTGCTTGGTAACCTTCCTATCACTGTGCCTATTTAATATTCATGAACCAAGACTTCTGCATAGTAAGATTCGTATACATCCGCCCTTCTCCTTCTTTGGTTTGTCGATTTATCCTCTAACGACCGCAGAGTCATGTATACACTCCGGACGCACTATGTTGTTTTTGACCAATGTTTTATAGACTAGTGGGAGCCTGGACAGGGAGGAGAACACGACATTGAGACGACCTTAGAGGTCATACTGGCGCTCGGCTATTTCCGTCCTGTCTTTTCATCCACACACACACACACACACACACACCAGAACAACTCACTACAAATATGCACCCTGGTGCACAGCTGTTTGGAAGAATGTTTTCTATCTTGATTTTACAATGTAAAATTCTACAGGATGAAATATATATATAAGTAAAGAAGTAAAAACGAAGTTTTCTAATATAATCACTAAATCTGAAGAGGCTACTACGTCGTTATCGTTTAGTGTAAAGGTTGTAGGCCTATTTGGGTGAGGAAACAGCTGCAGTGCTTTCTTTTACTATCGACACTTTACGATAGTGCTTCGAAGAAAAGCATTAAAATAGCTAACACTAATTAAAAAGTAATTTAACAATACGCTCATTCTTTTATAGCACGCTTATTAATATATAAATGCACTATCGATGCATAAACATTCAGTCAAACATGAACTTTTATGAATATAAATTTAACACACACGCATATCACATTTAATCTTCTAGGCCTAAATGAATTTGGGTCTGAGTGAGCCACGCTAGTTTACTCACGCCCCTTTCCTTGTCCGTTTTTTTTTTTTTTAGCTGAAGGCGCAGTTGCAGTCTGTGGAAAGAGATCTGGCGATCAGGAACTGCGGGTGGTGAACGGTTCAATTCTACTTTGCTAGACTACATTACTTCATTAGAGGGCCGGTTTGCAGAATTAACATTGATGTCGTGCAGAAGTGGATACAGCGCTTAGGGTGCATTGGATTGCATTTATTAAAACAGTCTATGAAGACCTCTGTCTGGCAAGCGTGGATAACAGAAGGCTTCTTGCGTTATGAGGAGGACACCTAACGTGTGGAGCGGGCTCATATAGCTCGAGAAAGCGGAGGAAAAGAGAAGCATTTCTACACAGCCGAATAATAGTTATAGCTTTCTAAATGCGTCTTCTTATCGAGCAGCCAAGAACAATGAGCAGTGGCTCTAGCAACTTTCTGCTAGTTCCTATACCGGAGTATCCTGTTCTAGACTGCGTGCCAAACAAAAACGTCAAAATAGCGGTTCTTGGGGCAAGCAATGTCGGAAAAACAGGTAAATATATCAAATAATGTGGATTGTAATATGCACAAGTAATAGCCAACTAATTTTATTTTATGCCATCATATTTTTATTTCATAGTAACTTATTCTAATGGCACTTTGGCGATTTAATATTTATACAGTTTATTCTGTTTAAAGTCATTAATAAATAAATGGTACGCATGTTTCTAATCCTGAAAAATTATGATGTTGGGGATATTTAAGCTAGTTTAACGCCAGGGTGCGACATACACTGGAACACTGCAAAGTTGTGTACGAGCTATGTGACATTGCTTATGCCTTTATGCTGATGCAAAGTTTCTCTTTGGTTTCAATTTTCAGCTCTGATTGTAAGATTTCTTACTAAGAGATTCATAGGAGACTATGAAGCCAACACAGGTAAACATTATAATGAAACAATGCTACTATACTATGATCATATGCTGAACTGTAAAAATGTTTTCATCATGACATTTTTGTTTCAGTCCGTTGGTTACAATCATTTCTGTCATGAATCGTAATAGATTTATGAGACTTTCAGCATTTTACACTGAAAATACACTGACGTTTATCATTGTAGTGAGTGGATTTTTTTTTCTTTTTCAACAATTCTAGGAGCCTTGTATTCAAGGAAGATTCATTTGGATGGGGAGCAAGTTTCTTTACAAGTGCAGGACACTCCATGTGTCTCACTGCAGGTACCTCCAAATCACATTCCTAATACTTCCTTCCATCTTTCAGCTAAACATCCATGACAAGTAGTGTGCCCATGGTCTATTATCACAGTCATTTAGATCACTCAGTCATTGCCTTGGGATTCCTGCTTCAGATGAACTGTGGGGAATATTAGTTCAAACATTTGGCCAGTAAACAAAGTATGCAGCGCAGGGGAGATAAAGAGGGTGTGTTCAGGCATAAGCTCATTAGTCTGACTCATGTGGACTGAGGGGCTCTCTTCAACTGAATGATTATGATCCTGGCTCAAGCGTAGTGTACTGTATATATAGGTGTCATAATGACTGAGAATTTACTTTGTAGCTGTTATGTTAGAACTAACTTATTGGTAGTCAGCCCTATTATTGTTAAAAACCTATTAAACATTATATTTGCAACAATCATTAAAATAATATTATAGTTAATATTATAGTCGTTTTCCTTTACAGTAAAATGATCAGTTCATTTCCAAAATAATGTAATTATACACACACACACACACTACTGGTCAAACATTTGGAATCATTACGATATTTTAAAGGGGTCATATGATGTTGCTAAAAAGAACATTATTTTGTGTATTTGGTGTAATGAAATGTGTTTATGTGGTTTAAGGTTCAAAAAACATTATTTTCCACATACTGTACATTATTGTTTCTCCTCTATGCCCCGCCTTTCTGAAACGCCACAAAGCTCATTGGTCTGAAAAGCGAGGTGTGCTCTGATTGGCCAGCTATCCAGTGCATTGTGATTGGCCGAATACCTCAAGCGTGTGACGGAAATGTTACGCCCCTTACCATACTGTGATGATGCCCTTTTAGGCCGGAGCGATGATTCAAAAACATGAAAACCCATTATAAACGAGGCATTCGTTGCATCCAGTGGGGACATAATTATGGATTATAATGACTTATACTGTCTTTTTACGCGTTGCATTCT